TCGGGACTTTTCCTGAGCGAAGAGCCATAGGAGAGTTGAGCATTAGTTTAGGCAATAATTGTGCCAACTACAGTTTTTCTTTCAGTTGTCACGTTTTTAGGAAGATAAGACTGGAAAAGGCCTCCTAGACCTTTGAGTCATCCTATGCTTTTGCAGGCCAGTATGTACCAAAGAGACCACGAAAATAGCCTCTTAAAATGCTTACACACACAACTACTAGTCCATAAATACCCAGAACACCAAGGATATCGTACAATATGCCTTGGGTAAGAGCAGGGAGGTATAATGGCATCACCAATGTCCCATCTCTGCCACAACAGGGAATTAGTTGATTAATATATACCCTAAAAGTCCTAAAAAAGTACAGTGCCTCATGCTATAGAGGAAGGCAATATTCTCTTATAATTTGGGTCAGTGTGACCTAGGAGATGATTCTTAAACTAGGGTGACTTCAGTTAGGTATCTTTCTCTCTTATGTTGAGCATTGTTGTTTAGAAACTATACTGCATGCTTGGGATGGGGGCATTCTTGCTTACAGAAATGCTAGCTCTCAACCCAGAACTTTACAAAGTACCATTTGAAAGATCCATTAGCGCATGTTTCTCTGCTTTCTGCATGTAAATATGCAGTATAAAAGGATTTATAAAAGGGAGGTAAACCATGCTCAAGGGTAGCAAAAGAAGATAGCTGTGAAATTCTATTGACTCATTCATTACTGCTTCCAGGCTCAAGAAGAAAGAGTTTAGTTTAGAAGAAATTTACACAAACAAGAATTACAAGTCCCCTCCTACAACAAGGTGAGTTGCATTCTGTGATGGGAGAGGTGACGCAGATAAAACTGATATAAAAATAAAGGTATTTTGGAAATAGAAACAACAAATGCATTTCAAAATAGAATTGAAATCATTGCCTTTTTGTACTTGTAAAAATGAAGTATAAATGAAAGCTAATTCAGAGGCAACTGATGTCCATCTGCTCTTAATATCTGAGACAGCAGTGGTATCACAGCTTGAATTTAAAGGAAAGCTTAAGGCTTAATTGTTACTCTTTGTAATTATTACTTGTTTGGGAATTCATTCATTGCAGCAAAGGATAGTACTGAGTATCATGTTTAAAACTCAGAAGGTAAAGATGACATTTCAAAATCGTATTGCCAGTCAGTATAGCGTGGTTCAGCTGTTGGGACAAATCCCACATGAATCTCAATGTCAAATAACAAGAATGTTGTTTTAATTGTGCATTTTTGCTTTTTTTTTTTTTTTTAAAATAATGTTTTGTCTGGCTTTTGGTGCATTTTGTTAAGGCTTTTGGTGCACTTTGTTCATTGGAATAAAACCTTTTGTTTGTACTTTTGAACTAAAATGTGGGCTGAGATTAACTGCCTGGATTTCTGTGCACCAACAAGAAATTATTCAGAAAATACACTAACAACTAGGTGATATGTGACTATTTCTGAAGATGAGTGGTCACTGATTTGAAACAATCATCTAGTCCATCTCAAGTTAATGATATTCAACTTGTACATGTTGACTTTCCCAGGTGTTTGGAAACCATCTTTGAGGAGCCCAAGGAGAAAAATGGATCCTTGATCTCTGTCAGCCAGCAGAAGAGGAAGCGGATTCTGGAGTTTCAGGACTTCACCATTCCTCGGAAGAGGAAAGCAAGAAACAGAGTCAAAGTGGCTGGAAGTTTCACACGAGCAAAAAAAGCTGCACTACAAGGCACAGAGCTAGATGCCCTTTTGATTCAGAAACTAATGGACCTTGAAGCCTTCTTTGCAGAGGAAGAACGGGACCAAGCATCTGGAAGCTGAAGGAGACATCTAACTAGAAATGGCCTAAAGTTCCTTTAATGTTTAGATCCGCTTGGGAAGGATTTGCTGGTCTCTTCATTCCACTCAGTCCTAATACCTGATGATCAGTTGTTGGCTGTGACCCACTTTGAAATGTTAATATATATAATATATATTTTTAATAATGTGGGATTCGTTCCTCTAATTCCTTTTCGTAAGTGTGACACAGTGGCTCTCACTGTTCCTCCCCCAACCTCTCTAAAAATTATGGCTAATGTTTAATTATTTTGAAATACTTCCTAGGAATGAAGTAGGGAAAGTAAAGGAGAAAGTAACGCACCTTCAGTGATGCTAGGATTCTAAATACTCCTGAACTTTTGCACGTTTATTTGAGTCTGCTGCTGTTACCATAGTGGTTAAATCTGAACATGTGGACAGCAGAAGGAGGGGGCTGGAACAGGGATGAATTCAAGTAAGTGGATTCTTGCATTGAGATACCACCAACTCTTTTAATTATGAAAGATTACTAGTCTGGATTTGCTTATAGTTACTTCAGTTTTTCTCTGTATTCAGAAGTTTCCTTCTGTGATTCTTTTATCTTTCATAGCTTCAAGCAGCCTCAAGACTAAATCTTAACTAACTTGCACTTTGTGTTTCTTGTTCTTTAATTTGCTGCATGAGGGCACCCTTTATTGTAATGCTGTTCTTTTAAAAATAATAATAATCGTGCATTAAGAACAATGGTACAGAATGCTAGGGTCTCCCAAATAGTTAAGCTGAGTTTAGCCTAGTTGCTGGTGCTTTACCCTTTGGCTGAAGAAAGAAATGTAGCAATGGGAAAATATTACTAAAGTTCCTATAACTCCTATGCAGTTCTTTATTTAACAGTTTTGGGCTTTGCTCAGAGATGAGCACCAGGAACTTCCAAGTGAGGCTGGACTCTTAATTGGTTATATTTCTGACAAGAAGGCTAATTTTATCTCAGCAAGCAAGCAGGTTTTTCTGCATTTTTTTTTTCTCTTCCATTTTTAACTTGACAATTTTAGGCTTGGGGCGCTCATATATGTAGATGTTCAGTGTACAACAGTGCTGTACGTAATAGCTTGTGTTGTACAAAGAGCCTCCAAGTATGTGGAAAATATATTTTTAAAATGCTTAAGGCCATTTGTAATTATCAGCTATATCTGTCTGAGGGAACAGTGCTTCCTTCTGGAATACTCCTGTTTAAACTTACTTGAAGCATAGTGGAGAGTGAAGGCTAGCTGCAATTCAGGTAACTTCTACACTTCAGTGCCTACAGAGTTTGTTCAGGCAGTTAATGGGATGCTGTCATTGCTGACATAGTTTAGTAGTTCCATTCTTTCTTTTCCCCTGCCACTTGAATCTTGCACTTTTTCACTTATGTGCCCCTATAGCAACTTTCTGCTTACCTCCAAAATGGGTGTTTAAAGTCTAGCATCTGGCAAATGGGTTTCATGATCCAATCCAAACAACTTCAGGGTCAAGGATACCATGCTACATTTTCTGCTCAGTCAGCTCCTTTCTTGACTGAACAGAGAACTTGGACTGAAACAACCCATCAGAACTCAAGAGTTCTGAACGTTAGAAAATGTTTGTGCCTAAGACCGGAATGAATAATTTTCTGGATTTGTTTTGCTCCTAGCTCCTGTGATGGGATTTTTTATTTTCATACCCTGGTTTTGGAGGGTGATTTATCTTTAACCAACCACAAAAACTGATGTGGAGTAATATGAACTTATGGCTTTGGTTTTCAGTGGAAGGAGGTAAATTTTGGACCTTGTGGATATGCCATTTCTACTACCTCCATGCATGCCCAGCTGATCCACTAAGTGGTATTTTAATCCATCCTTGCTGTTTTACTAAAGGAATCGTTAAAAAAACAAACAAACCCCCACCCCACCCCCTAATCCCAGTGCTGAGGGCATGAAGGTTTTGTCTTTCTAAAAATGTTATGATTCCCCTCTACTTAGGTTATCAGCACTGGTATTGACCAACTGGGAGCTATCAAAAAAGTCATTTTATGCCCCAAGTTTGGGTTTCATGCCATGAAAGACTACTATATGAATTAATGCTAATGTGGAACACATGATAATGTAGAAACTGCTGGGTGTGTGCTGGTGTTGAAATGTAACCTCAGTGGGGCTTGTAACAAAATTAGGGAATTGGGTGGGTGGGGAAAAAGCTCAGGTTCAAGCAGGGTTCTGTCCTTTTACAGTGTGCTTTGACACTTACACAATCTCTTTACTACTTCTGCTTTGTCTGCTGCCTCCTTCTCTTCCTTGTTCCCAGTCACTTTGAAGTAGCATGTCCCAGAAAGCTTTTTTTCTGGAAACAGCAGAGGAGCAGTAGAAATACCCCTTTTCATTTCACTTATGAGAGCAAGAGCTGTTCAGGAAATGTTGTTGCCAACCCCTGCATGTCACACTTGCCAGAATTTGTGAAAACCCTAACATGTTAGCATTACCATTTTTTTTTTGTTTTTTTTTTTTCACTGTATGATGGATAAAACACCTCTCTCCAGGTATATTAGCTTCATTTGTGGTTCTGTGCCTACCTCCCCTCCCTCCTCTCCAGCCCTCTGTTTACTGTTTGCAGTGCTCACAGAACAGTCTTTCTTTGACTGTTGCCTGTGGCAGCATCTGGCATGCTGGGAGCGATAAGAATGCAAAAACTGGGTCTCTCCAATTCCAGTCTGACTTGCTTCTGACCCAGCTACTCTGTATGAGAGAGATGTAGAGGATGCAGATTCATGCATACTTGCATTCTCTTCATTGAAACAGATGTACAGTTGCCTTTTGGTAAGATGGTGCCACTTCATACGGATTTTTATATTATTGTGGAAAAGGCCATGTACATATCACCCTGAGTGACTGTACTAAGTATTTTAGAAAAGATTTTGCAGAGTTCTTGAGCCCTGCAAGGAAGTTGAGCTTCTTTTGACAAGCATAGCTAGGCAGGGGAGGTATCATTTTCCTGAAAGAAAAGATACACGTTTTATCCAATTACAAACCCAGCAGCAAAGATTACCTGATGCATACTGAGGGGAGCACCTCAGCTTGTGCACCTAGGGCTGTGTACACAAGTTCCAGTGCTTGCTGGATATGATTTTTTGCAGGCCATTCCAATTTTAGCATATCTGATTCAGAATTGGGTTCTGTTATGTGATATGCTTCAGCTACTTTGTTAAAGCGCTGGTAATAACTGCCTGGATGAGATGTCTGATGCCGTCATGCTAATAGTTGGGTGAAAATTTGTACACTTTTATAACACTGATCTATCATGTCCCTGCAGTTTTGTTTCTGTTTAGTAGTTTGTGAATCTAAAATTTCATTTTTTGTGTGTGTGTGTTTAATTTATGAAAATAAATTTTTTTGGGGAACCTTTCTGTTTACTGATGACTTTGGATTCTTCTCTCTTCAGATGGGAATGAAATTTGCACCTTCATGTAATTCAGAGGGAGTAATACCTGACTCTCTGACATTAAGAGAAACTGTCTGTATAATACTTTGAAATAGTTGACTAGAAATGCAGATACTGCTTTTATTTAGTCTGTTACAAAATGCTCTTTAAGCTACTGTGGGCACAGGAAACTAACAAATTCTTGCAGCTATGTGTACATTAAAGATGATGGCTGAATCTGAATCTTCAAAAACAACCTGGATGCCAAAGGAAGGGAATTTATTTCTGTTGGTCCTGATGTTTTCCTCTTCAGAGGCTATGCAGCATGGTGAGTAAGTGTAGAATGGTGCACCTTAAAAATGGTCTCGTGTTCCTTACTGTATCATCCCAGTTTTCTGTGTTCTCAGCTTTTCAAACTAATAAGCTCTGCTGTAACTAATAGTCTTCCAAAGTTTGCTGACACCATTTATTAGCAAGTACAGCCTACTGGTGTGTCCTTGCAATACTCCTCCCAAGTTCTGTTGCCACAGGGGTGGAGGAAGAGAATGGGGTAATTAGAATGGTAGAAATCATACAGAAGTAGAACTGGAAGGGACCTCGAGGTCATCTAGTCAAACCCCCTGCTTAAGGAAGAGAGGTGTACGGTATCATATGTAATTGCTTGTAGCAGACCACAATGGTCATCTCTACTAGGTAGTAAAGTATTGGCAATTACAGCTTATGAAATACTGAACAATCCACTGGATTCAGAAGCAAAAGAGATCAGAAACTATGGATTAGGCCTGTGCTTCATGCACTACAGTCTGTGGACCAGGCTGATTTAACTTTACACCAAAACTAAAACAGGTAAATATCAAGAAGACTTACCCCAAAGTTTCTGTGGGCAATCCTTCCTGTGGAAATCCCTGTCTGGATTTTTTTGGACAGATGCCATCCACATATCAAAATGTAGTTGATGAAATCTGGAGATGCTCATGTATTTTAATTGCATTAAGTCTGTATTCTACAGCCATCTTAATATTTCCCATTTTTAATATATTCTTAGCTTTGGAAGCTCTTTCTCAAGATCCAAGTACAGTACTGCTTCGGTCCAGCAGGTAGAATATTAAACAAAAAAAATAAAAGGATGCCTTTTAAGACTTCAGCTTGCTAAAATTAATTGATTTAATGCCGGCTGTAGAACTAACACCATACAAAGGCTTCACAATTTTTGCTGCATTATACCATTTTATTTTACTCTTGCTAAGTGCTTGACCAGTTTTTATTCTCCTGCCATGCTTGGACCTTCCTGCATCTGCCCTTTGCTTTTTCAGCCTTCCCCTGGAAGGCACGTACACTGGAGTATAGTGCCTGCTTCCTGCATTGGCTTGTTCAATGGAGCCAGGCAGGGTGTCTGAGCTGGAGTTACAGCCCTCAGTGAGGGAGATGGGGAGCCAGAAGTAGAGATGGTTCATCTAAACACAAACTGCTGAAGCTGGCTCCAAGATTTTTTTCTTCCCTATTGGATAAGAAGGTGATACCATGCAAAACCATTTGGAGAACACTGCAAGGAAAGAAGCCTGGGAGTCAACCCAGCTACCTGGAAAGCAGCAAAAATATTGAAATTCCCACAAATCTTGTATCTAGATATGTTCTTAAGTGAAACTGTATGGCTAGACAGTGACAAGTAGACTGTGAGTATTTTTAGTGATGGCTATTTGCAACTGTGTTTCTGCTACAATGTGCAGCTAGTGTGCCTTCCATTGTTTCACATCAGTTTATTCAGGGAAAGTTTCTGGTTATTCATTCTTCCTTGGGTAGCTTAGGTTAATGCAAGTCGCTTTGAAATGGGAGGGTTTTAATTAACCTAAAGTGTGGAGAAACAGTACTGTTCAGCAAGGCAGACCAGAATGAGTTCTGTCCAGTCCTCTTCAGACAGATAACTGGCTTTAAGCAAGGATTGAGAAAGTAACAAGCCAGATGTCAAGCTAGGAAGAGCAGGACATGATGCCCATGTTCAACTTTCTCCTGTTGTAAAAAACTTACAGCTTAACTACATACATTTAGACATAAAAGATCCTGTAAAGTAAAGACCAGTTTTGGAAAAAAGTGGAAATTCCATTTGTTTTTGCTTCTCACCCATCCCCAGCACATCTTAAGGATACAAGAACCTGATTCTGTGAGTAGAAACTGTTTATTCCTTAGAGTTAATTTTCCACAGCCTACCTGGAAGATGTCAATACATTTGGTGCAAGTTCTTGGCTGTTACAGCAGAAGAGAAACTCTTCCCTGTTCCTAATAGAAAAGGCTACTTAGGTTGCTAGTCTGTGCTAGATGTCAAAAACGTGTGGGTAGTGGCCATCTAACAGTAACAACATCCTTGTGGAAGGGTTACAACTTACCCATTTTAACTAGAAATGTAGTATAAATGAGACATGGGGAAAACAGTCAAAGTGTGCTTTTCCGCGGTGATACACAAAAACAGGGATGACTGCTGGGCCTATGGAGTTGGACTAGCTCTTCCTACAAAAATGTTGAATTACGTTGCTAAAAATTATTTAGAGGGTGTCTGTATTTTAACTGTTTGTATACACTGAGATGCAGCTAGTTCTGCTACCTGATATATGGGATTCTGCATGTTGCCATGTTCCAAGCTGAGCAAAGAAAATCTACAGGCGATGTGGTCACTTGATATGTGGGAGTGACATCTGCCGGCAAGGCTCTTTGGGTAAACGTGGTATCTTTTATTAGACCAACTAAATAGTTGGAAAAATTGTTCATTGCAAACTTTTGGGCACAAACACCCTTCTTGAGGTAGAGGGGGTGTTTACAGTTATGTGCTCTCCTGGATAAGATAGAAGCCAGTGCAAAAATGCGGGTCAGTGAGAATGCAAAAGCATGACAGTGAGGGTCAGAGGGGGTGAGACAAGTTTGGGGGATGGTGGGGGGGGGTGTAGTAAAAGGGGGAATGGTGACCTGATAATAAAATGTAGCTGGTAAATTATAGAGAGGTTACCTGGAGCCATCAGATGGAAGGCAGGTTTATAATGTGTCATAAATCCAATGTCTATATTTAGTCCATGATTTTTTTGTATCCAGTAGATTTATGAAGTGAAGTTTGTAGGCTTGTCTGCTAAAGGTGTTTTGTAAATTTCTTTTGAAGATTAGAACTAAGAGATTGGAGAGAGAGTGGTTGTCTTGTGCACCCACAGGTAACTGGATATTTCTGTCTTTGATAGATTTTCAGTGTGCGTTCATTCTGGTACACAGTTATTGTTTGGTTTCTCCTGCATATTTTCTATCAGGGCATTTAGTGCACTGGATGAGAAGTACAACATTTCTGGAGGTGCAGGTGTAAGATCCAGGAAACGGTGATGGTTCTGTTGTGAGGTGTAGTTATTGTGGGAGTGCTGAAGGTATGTTGGCAGGTCTTGCATTTCTTGTCCTGGCATACTCTGGATCCATTTAGTGCATTTGGGGCCATAATGGGAAGCTTGCTTCTGGTAATGAGATGGGTGAGGTTCAGTGCTTGTTTAAAGGATGGGTGGTTTTGGGAAAATTTCTTTAAGAATTTGGTTTTCTTCTAGTACGGGTTGCAACTGTTTGAGGATTTTCTGTATAGGTTCCAGGAGGGATGGTATGTTATAACTAATGGTGTGCAATTTGTGGAAATTTTCTTTTTGTACTGCAGCAATTCTTTACGTGGTAGCTGAATGGCTCTTTCAAATGTGCAGTCTCTGTCTCTGAAGGAGTGTCCTCGTTGAGTGAAAGCCCTTTTGAGATTTGTGAGGTAACAATCATGGGTGTCCTCAGTTCAGATTTGGTGGTATTGGAGGGCTTGGCTTAATATTACAGTGTTTTGGGTAATTGCTAGTTCTGTGCAGATACGTTGGTTTGTGGGCTTCTTGTATATGCTGGTTTGTATTTTACCATTCTGGATAATGACCATAGTGTCTAAAAAGGAAATGCTGGTGCCAGAGTATTCAAAATATAGTCTGATGGAGGGGTGATGATTATTGAATTTCGGATGGAAATCAATCAGATTGCAGGTTCAGTCCAAATGATGATGTCACCTATATACCTTAAGAATAGCATAGGTTTGGTGCAGTTCTTGAGACATTCTTCTTCCACGTGGCTCATAAAAAGGTTGGCATGTTGTAGGGCCATTTAGGTGCCCATAGCTGTGCCCATGATCTGGAGGAAGTGTTGGTTATTGAAAGTGAAGTTGTGGGTGAGCATGAAATGTATAAGTTCAGTAATATCTTCAGGTCTGTACTCTGAGTTGTAATCTTGCTCTTACAGATATGTAAGCCAGGTTTGGATGCCATCCTGATGTGGGATGTTGGTATATAAGCTGGTAACTTCCATGGTGGCTAGGAGAGTGTTGCTCATAGAAAGTCGGTTGGGTCTTGGACAGAACTCGCTCTTTGGGTGACGAGAGGTTTTAGGATGGATTTGATGAAACCTGATATTTCCTCAGTTAGGGTTCTGTGGTTGGATATGATAGGTCTGCCTGGGTTCCCTTGTTCGTGGATTTTAGGGAGCATGGAAAAAAATCCCTGGTTTGGGTAGTGGAGGGGTGGGATCAAGTTTTGTAGTTTTCCTGTAGTTTCAAGTATCTTGTTCAGATGGAAATGATTTGATGGTATTTTGAGTTTTAAGGTGAAAAAGGGAGTTGCATCTTCCTCTAGTTTTTTGTAGTAGGTGGTGTCAGAGTTGTCTGTTGGCTTCTTTTATGTGGCCTTCACGGTTAAGGATAACTATAGCTCTTCTTCTATCTGCTGGTTTTATTACTATTTGGTGGTTGGATCTTGGAGATTCTGTGGCCCTTCTCTCTGACAGGGAGAGATTGTTATGATGGCATATTGCTTTTTCATTGTTCATTCTTTCCCTGAAGCAGTCAGTATAGTTGTCAAGGTTTGAATTTTGTCCACTTTGAAATGTGCAGTCTGATTTTTTTGGGGGGGTTTTTTTGGGTTGATCTTTTCCTCAATGTTGTCAAACGATGAAGTCTTGTTGGAAGTAAATCCATTTTGGTTGTGGAAATATTCCTTGAAGTGGGTGTGCCAGAAGAATTCTTCTAGTTTTCCACATTGAAAAAATACCCTAATAAAATGCTACAGATAGAAATTCAGGCCTTTAGAGAAGACAGATTTTTCAGCTTTTGGTAAGTGTGTGCGTGGAGAGATTGATAATACTTGAGGGTTGGCTAGTTCTTTCAGTTTCATCGAGTATGAGGTTAGAATGTTGTAAAGTATTGGGTGCTGTTTCTCTGATGGTTGCTTTGTGGTTGGGAAAAGTTGCTCCTAGAATAATCGGTTCTATTTCTTCTTTTTATGTTGGAAGGATGTTGTAGAAAATCTTTGGTAGTTTCTTTATATACGTTGTGTAATGTCTGGGAAGATATCCAAATTTTTCTCTCTCAAGTTGTTGCAGCATGTGTTGATTTCCTTCCTTAGTTGATCTCTTTTGGACTAGGTTAGGTTAAGATGATGATTTCAGTTTTTTCTGAAGTTCTCCTCCATGGTTGTGAAGCATATTTAGAGCTGTGTGTAGTAGTCAGAGGATTGTAGATGTTCAGTCCTCAGGGAATGATGTTGTGTTTCTTGCATAGGCTTAGAAAATATATGTCGCTGTTGAGTTAGGCTTCTTTTTCATGTTGTGAAGGAGTGACATCTGAGCAGCGTTATCAGCCTCTCCAGCACAGTACGTATCATAGGATGGGGGAGAGTGTCTTACCAACAGGTGCAAAGAGCCTCCTGAACATTCAGCTTTTTCACTATGTAAACATAAAATCTGTCTTGTCATGAAATACCCAATCTCCATCTAAATTTTTATTGGCAGCTGTTTTCCTTGCGCTGTTTTTGCTGATGTTAGGCTTGCATCTTTTGATTTCAATCTGTGCAGTGGCTGGGAACATCCTGAAGAGCTGATGTGCATCATATTAAGATGAAGATGTGCAGATATCCTGTTTGCAGAAGTCCAAGATGTCTACAAACCAGAAAAACAGTTCATTACTGGTGCTGTCAACCCTAAAATGACAGTTCTTTTGGAACTGTTTGTACCTGCTGCATTCAGTCACTAAATCAAAATGCTAGATCACAAACTGGAATGCTGTCTTCAGTTTTACTCCACTTTTAAGGGCACTTTGGTGCCTAAATACTATAAAGGTGATTTAAGGTGCCTAACATCCCACTAACTTGAATACCAAGTTAGGTACCTAAATACCTTTATGGGCCTGTCCCTTTATGCCATCAGTTCCTTGGGTTTGCTGATGGGCAGTTGTATGCTCTCACGGAGGATGAGAAAAGAACCTTTATAACAGAATTAAATAATTTTGTTTTCCTGACAAGCTATTCAAAGTAATTTTATTTTTTTGAAATTCAGTTTGATAGTGTTCTCTTTAAAAGACTGAATTCAAAATTATGGTAAAAATGTTGATCTCTCTGCCAATTTTTTCCCTTAGCCCCAGAACTGGTCTTTGGACATTAAGGGTTACATTTACATCTGGAGTATGGGGCTCTGGATTCAATAAACTTGTACCTGCTTTGTACTGCCAGTGAATTTGGCGACAAGGTTGTGTCATACCCTATTTTGCTACTGATCATATACTGTACTTGTGGTATCCTTTTTCTGTATCCTTTAGCTACCCTTACTATTGAGGTTATAAAATATAAATTATAAGTATAATACAATATTTACACTATACTGTATCAGTACATTAAGAGCTGGTAGGTAGCAGCTGTTACTTTAACAAGGTTGCGTGAGGATAGGCCCCTAGACTGACTGTATACCAGTTCCAATAGGGAGGAGTAGCTGCAGGGGAATGCTGGCTCTGGAGGAATTCCCTACTACTCTACTCCTGTAAGAAGTCTCTGAAGAAGATGGTATAGCAGGACTGGCTGTCTAGGAACCTGAAGTTACACTCCAGAAGTTATAGTAGGCATATTTTCACAGTTGGTCATGGCCAAAAGGCCAGGAAGCAATACCATATGCATACTTCTAAAGCTGTGTTTTAACCCAATATCTCACATTACCTGCATGGGTGCAATTAAATACAGATTCTGCTAGCTGAAAGAAAGGTTCTCCAAGGATTTCCTGATAATCCAGGTGATTTATGTGAACAAGATATTGAGTAGCATCTTTAAAGAGCAGATCACACTCTCCATACTTCTGAGACTGAAACAAATGGAACTCAGGCTCCAGACTGGTTCCCAGACTTTCCTAAATCAGAAAAAAAAAAAGTTTCAATGCAATAAAAGATGAGCAGCGAAATGAATTAGGTGAATTTTTAGCTAAAAATCAGGCTGTAATAGAAATGTGTGAGGTTCAGCTAGTACTCTCCTTGTTTCTACTGGAAGGGATTTTGCATTCCTTTTCCTTGGATTAACCTACTGGCTGTTCCAGCATCATGTTTCTCTCTCAGCAAAAACATGTTATGATGAAGAAACTACTGGTGCCAAAATTTGCCTTTAGTAAATCCAAATGGTTCTCCCATTAGGTTCCTGCACACATTCTTAATCCACTAGTGCTGGTCCTAAAAACATGTTATATGTTACGAACAAAGCTCTGGATCTCAGTGGGGTTTTCAGCAACTGGAATTTAACAAAGAGAGCACATCCATTTTTTTCCCATCATCTGCCTCACCTGAGATTTCATTAAGAAGTCATAGATCTTAGTGATGGCCATTGGTCGAGTCATGACTATACTAGGAGGAACAGGACCAAGGTTACAGTCTGCCCAATCTGTGACTGCAACACGCCTTCCATCCAGACACAGGAGTTCAAAGTCACTAGGTGTATAACCTTTGGCCCAGCCTGTGTTGTCCAGATCTGCAAAGCAGATGGAAATGCACTAAATTCTTTGACTAAATCATTACCTGAATTTCAGTCAACAGAGGGAACCTCACAGAAAAAAATGTTAACACAGGGCACATCTACACATGTACTTTAGTTAATGCACATTAAATCTAGTACCTCTAGGTGCCTATATACGAGCCTGGAGCAAGGTTCCCTCTAAGGTGTACACAGGTGCAGCCGTGCACAACTTTAAGTGTGGCTGCACACAGCCTTTTCAAGGCCACGCACCAGGAGAGGCTGGGGCCGGGGGCTGGTGTGGGCTCCACGGGCTCTGGGGAATTGCTCCGCTCCCCCGCATCATGGCCAGGGAGTGGAGCACTTCCCCGGAGCCCACGCCCGGTCCCCGCCAGCCTCCCCACCCCAGCCTTCATCCCTGCCTTGCCTCACCTTGGGGAGGAGCCGCTGCCTGCCCCAGCGAGGCTCCGCTGGCTCCAGTACACTGCTCTGCTCCCCCACATGGCCGGG